TGCAGCTCTGGCTCCTAAATTATGGAATGAGCTGCCGCTGAAGGTCAGGCAGGCCCCAACTCTTTCTGGTTTTTAAAACTCGTTTAAAAACACATTTCTTCTCTTTGGCTTTTAACCCAGAGTGATTTTGCATCTGTGTCTTAATTTTGTACTATTTTTTGGTATATGTGATCTTTGTATTGTCATTTTATTTTTGATGTTTTATTTTATACATTTGTACAGCACTTCGATCAGCTGCGATGTTGTTTTTTAAGTGCTTTAGAAATAAAGTGGTATGGGATGGTATGGTAACCCCACACCTGTAACTTGCATTTGGATCCATGGAGACTGGGCATTTGTCCCCATGATGTACATCTGGTTCCCACGAGGCTGCTTTTTTTGGAAAATTTTCCCCACAATGTAGGAAAAACAAGGCCACACACACACACACAAAACACACACACACACACACACACACACACACATTAGACACTACAGAATGAGACTAAACTTTGGTAATACATTTTGACACCTTCCTAAAATAATTTCCTGACATTATTTCAGGTTTGTCAGGGATCTCTAAAAYCTCATGTGGCACACTTCTGGTTAAGTGTTTTGTATTTCTTGAAAAACTAGAATAAAATTACTCAGATATTCATTTTAAGAAGGAGCTGAATAAGTTACAGGATTTTGCATGAAAAAAACTATAGCAGATGGTGGCTAATGATGGACTTCTTTAAAATGAACTACTATAATAACGTAAAATGTTTCATAAAGTGAGGGGAAAACCTGAGTTGATGAAAGACCAACTGTATTTTGAGGCACAACATGAAGGTAAAATAAATGTTATTAAGATTAAGGTTAATGAAAAGTTGAACCAGTGGTGACACTCTCAAACAGGGAGCAGGCTGGTCTACAGGTCACCAGTTGAGTCTGTTGAAGACCACAAATATCTGAGTTCAACAACCAGCTGAGCTTCATCTCCAACACTGAGGCAATCTTCAGGAAGTGCAACTAGAGAATGTATTTCAGAAACTGAACTCTTCGATCAGTAAGAACATCTTGTTGTCTTTTTACTATACTTTCATAGACTGCTGGTTCCTCACCATCAACCTGCAGGACAGGAGCTGACACAAAACCACTGGACTTCCTGCTCCTCTGTCTGCTGTGAATGAACTCATCTCACAGTCTGCACAGCTTTTCAGCAACATGCATCATGTAGCAGGCTTTGTTGTATTACCTGCAAAACTTAGAGGAGAGTGACTTTTGTCCTTCAGGCTGTTCTCTTTCTAAACTAACACCTTAAACCCCCAAAAGCAGAGAGTTTCATTTGCTTACTCTGTCTTTTTTATTTTCCTATAATGGCTATCGGGTTAATTTATTTAATGCTGCCATGCTGCTCTGTGATTCCTCACTTGTCCCTCTAGGATAAAAAAAGTTTTCTGAATCTACATTTGCTGCATGTTGGTGCCGTTGGTAGAGCTGTTGTCTCTCAGCAACAAAGTTGTCGGGTTGAATCCCAGCCTGYCTAGGTAGAGTTTGCACGTTCTCTCTGTGCGTGTGTGGGTTTTCTCTGGATGATGAAAACATTCACGTTAGGTTCACTGGTAACACTAAACTGTCCCTGGTTGTGAGTGAGAGACTGAATGGTTGTTTGGCTTTATGTGTCCCTGTGATGGACTGGAGACCTGTCCAGGGTGTCTCCTGCAGCTCGCACAGTGACTGCTGGATATGGGCACCAGTGACCCATAAAGGAAGAAGTGGGTAAAGATGGTGGATGGATCTAAAGTTACATTATATTCTTGGATCATTTGCTGAAAAATGCAGCTGTATCAGCTGTGCTGCACTGTGAACACTTTCTGCAGGAATCAACAGATTTTAATGGAATAACAACTTAAAGCAAAGCTAGCATAAGTGAACATGAACAACTATGGAAATGTTGATTGGAGTGATCTTGGCAGTGTTCACACTAGTCGTTGGCTCATCAGTCACATCTCAGTGTTTAGTATTAAATTTAAATATGGGTTAAAACTGACAWAACAGGAAATGTGTGACAGGTTTTCTTTGTGGAATGCTAGACTTTTATCACACATATTTCAGCCAGAAAGAAAAGTGATATTAAAACAGCAGCCTTGAWATGTTATGTTCTTGTTTCAGTGAAATATTTACCAAGTCGTTTGGTTTCAGCTTGGTTTATGTTTTGCAGTCGTTTCATATCCTCCCTATGAGACGGCAGCTCTTCCCCAGAGAGCTCTCTTTACACGAGCTTACACAAAGCTTCAGTCTCTGTGTGTTTGCTGCATCTCAGCTCTAAACTGTAMATAATCTGAGGAGCAGTTGTGTTGATCTTACAAATATACTAAAAAAGACAAASCTGAACTTTAGACTTGATGTCAACATCTAGCTTTTCAATGTGTGCTGCTGATCTCTGTGCACTGGGTCTACTGGTTAGTACCATCATACACAAATAACAGCTGTTTGACAGCATGCTGCTGTTTCAGCTGCTAAGTCTTACACTGAATCATTCTCTCTGAAACTCTGCTAAGAAGCAACATATGTGTCAGAGCAGTTTATGTCCTTTAAGGTCTGTTTCAGTGCAAAACAGCAGGAGGCCAAGAACCTGAGGCATCATAATCCTTCCAGAGTCAGACAGGTTTTACTGAAGACAGACCTGGGTCCTGTTGGACYTCACTAAACCAGTTAATCAGATACAGTATACCAGTTTCTGGTGTTAGGCTTGGTGTGGCCTTCTGACATGTAGACACTGACTTCTGAGAAAAAACAAATGTRTTTTGAACACAAATCACACAACATCACTATAAAGGCCCCCACATACTCAGGTGAACTTCGCTCGGCGGAGGTCCGCATGGACTCGAGGAGGACTCAAAGTGGCCGTCCGCCAGACTGGTCCACACAGAGATCAATTTTTTACRTCCGTGTCCGCGGTGTTGCACAATAAGCAACCTGGCAGGTATTGTTTTGGATGCGACACCAAGCTGATAAAGTTGAGAATCTGTAACATTTGTGGAYAAATGCAGTCAAAATTTGAAGAGCGTCTCATGGAGGAGATTAGAAAACGTTTTGATACGTCAATGAAGGAACCTAAGGACTTTCAGTGAGCAACTAATTTGTGGGAGGAAATAGCTCAGATGCTGGTAGTTCTTTTCTTTTTTCTTTTGTTGTTTTAAAGCTGAACTGCTAACTATCTCTTCCTGATCTTTGACATCATGACTGAAATTACGAGAAATCAAAGAATTTGTCAGGTGGTCAGTAAGCTCGAGTATGAAGTCTCAAACAGCCGGACAATGCGTGGAGTCTGTGTGGCTCATGGTCCGCCTGAGTATGTGGGAGCCATTACTTAGTAAAGCCAACAAAGCCAACCCCCTGGTGTCCAGTAAATAAAAGCAAGAAAACAAAAAGAAAATTCACCCTTTATGTTCTGTTACACATGAAACATTGTCAGATGTGTTGTTGAACACATCTCACATACTAAGGTTTTAAATTGAGATACATTGACATTAACATTTGTATTGGTCTGATAAATGAAACTGGGCTGATATTAACGTCCGATATTGATCTTCTGCTTGTTGTCATTTTTGTTTCTGTTTTGGGAGGAGAAATGGTTGGTCAGACGATATGTTTGATCATATATATATA